TTAGGGAAAACTCTCAAAGTACAAATCTCTGCATGTTCTTACTGTGCAGATATAGGGGTTGTGTCAAGATTTTTGGGTGGTTTTTTTGATTGTTGTCTGACAGCTTTCTGTCTTGGAAAGCAGCTTCTTTCCTGGTCCTTTGGCTAGAGAGAGCAGACTTCTGTTACTGTTTCTGTGTACCCCATGAGTGTCTGGGTTTCTGGTGTCTTGAGCTCCACATTTCTGATGTGTGAAGTGAAGACTATATAGGGGCCTCACAACTGTATTTGTTCTCAATCCCAAGGCCCCTATATATACCTTCCCCCCGCCCCGCCTTTCAGAGTCCATTGCCTTTTTTTTAATAGTTTATTTTTACATTATTTTGTGCCATTGCCCTTTTTTTTTTTAAATAACACCTGACATCCAGGATCTTTAGTTGTTTTTACCATGAGTCATGGGAATAAGTATTCTTTTTCATGTTTAAATTTTTACCTCGGATGCCTCTTCAAAACAAAAATGAACTTCTTATTTTTGTTATTTCTTACTTACCTTTGGCTACTTATACTTTAATTTACCTTGGAATATTTGAAGTCTTTCTGTTCTGCCCTTTTATTCATTATTGTAGCTTAGACTTGCTCTGCTCCCTGGTGCTCAGACACAGTGCCCTACTGTACACACTTTGTTCTTCCTGGTAAACCATCTTCTAGGCACACTCATGCCTTCACATCTGCTTTCAGTTGCAGATGCAACAATGAAGTTCATCCATTCTTTCCCAAGTAGGTGACTCAAGTCAACAAATATTTCTTTAACTTTGGCAGGATCGTCTTAGTGCTTTATGAGTGGAACTCCTCCTCATTGACCTAATATGGAAACCAAACAAGGTTAATAGTGAATGTAGGGGAACATGTGTATACAGGTGTAACTTAGATCGTGCTATAAGAATACAGAGAAAGAAGTGATTAAAATCTGCTGGGTATTTTGTTGCATGTCATCTGCCCTAGCCCTTTTAATTTGTCATGTAGCTTTGGGATGAATGACTTCCTCATCAAGCTGAAATCCTCAGCTTGGCAATTTAGTTGGCACATGTCTCAGAGCTCATCTTGTCTGTTAGTGTTTTCTGTTGCCATTCTCATAATAAACTGCATGTTTCTGTTTGCGTCTTCAACATTCCTCCTGGCATACTTTTATATGTATATAAAGAGCATTTTAGTGGGGGAAAAATGTGATGAGTCAAACAGACCCCAACTTTGCCTCTTACATGTGTGATGTAAGAAAGTTACATTAGTTTTCTGATTCTTAGTTCTCCTTTTTGTAAGTATGGGAAAATACTAATTTTCTGGCAGGATGTATGAAGGTATTAATGAAAGTTCTTGAAGCCACAGGAATTCAAATGAAATTTGGAATCCCTTTCTTTGTTTCTTTAATCAGAATGTAAGCCTAATAACTCGCTTTATTTCTTCTAATCTCTCATCAGCACCTGAGAACAGAGACTACTTATTAAGTACATTTTTGAGGATGTCTGGTGTGCCCTATGTTATTTTAAATGCTGAAACTCCCAAGTTTGGAGGCAGGACAGACATATGTATAGGTGATTAAACATAGCATGGTGCATGTGGTGCTAGAGGTGTGTCTAGAAGATTCTGGGGGCACAGAAAAGGTGTGCTTTGGACTGGATAGAGTGAGTCCTGGAGACTTCTTAGAGAAAGTGTTGCTGGTACTTGATCTTCTTTCCTATGTAGCTTTATTGAGGTGTAGTTTAAATAATCATAAGGTCCATTCAATTTAAGTCTGCAGTGCAATGATTTTTAATAAATTTACAACTGCCCCAAATTTAGAACATTTTCATCACTCCAAAAACATTTCTTGTGCCCTTTAACATTTATTGCTAAAGGATGAGTGTGGTGATCTTGCAAAAATTTGGAAGGAGGACTGAATTTCAGGGCGTGACTCAAAGGTAGGGAAGCATAAAATAAAATGTGTTGGTGCAGTTTAATTTCCGTAGTATACAGTTCCTTCTCAGCAGCTGTGTCAGCTTTCTAGGTCTTTGGAGCTGAGTTTCCTTATCTGTAATTTTAATTGTTATATACTAGTTGAACTCTAGATCCTGCTAAACTCAAATCCCAAGATTGTCAAAACTTAATGCCTTCAATTAAAGGAAAAAAATAGAATGTAATTTTTAAAATAGCAAAAATTGAGGACAATCAAGAAAAAGCAAAAGAATTATTGTGATGCTATAGATCTTTTATGTAACTTCCTGCTGCTTTGAATGTTTTCTGATTATGCAAACAATAACACACGCTGAGAGAAAATCTATAAAATGCAGGAAATAAAAGGAAAGTTTTGATCACTTATAAGCTCCTAATTCAGATTATCAGTATTCTCTTGTTTCTACATACTTTTATATTTATATTCATATATTTGAAAATTGATACTGTGCTCGGAATAAAATTATTAAATATTATTTTAATAATACTAAGATTTTATATTATTAAATAGTGTAAAAAGTTTATTTTAATGCTTCATTTTTTTAGATTTAAAAATATGCCTCACTTTTTTATTTTTAAGATTTATTTATTTGTGTTTATAGAACTAGCACATAAGCCAGAGGTATGGTAGATGAGAAACAGAGTGGGGGGCAGAACAGGCAGATCAACAAAGTACACTGCTGAGGGGAGCAGCCGGTGGGTCAAAAGAGGTCTGCCACACCATTTGGGTCAACTCCATGGCCAAGGATCGAATTTATGTTGCAGTGATTTCAGAGAGCTTCATAATGTGGTACTTTAACCCATTGCACCACCAGGGGGAGCCCAAATATACCCCACTTTTAAAGCAATTAAAAGTAGTAAAATATCATAAACATGGTAAGGTTAAGTTACATTAAAAAATCTTAAAATCTTTCCCTTCCCTTTTACCACTTCTAAGAGTTAGCAGTGGGTGACTGCCTCTTGTATGCTTTTAGAAATTGTGTCATGTACTGTTAATCTAACTTATCTTTTGTTGATATCCATTTAGATTGTTTTGCTTCTACAGTGCAGAAACAGATCTTTTCATGTGTGCTTCTTATAGACTATATTAGTTGCAAAAGTATATCTGATATATCCTAAAAGAGAACTTCTGGATCAAAGAGAACATGCTTAAATTTTTGATAGATATTACCAAACTTCTTTGGTAATAAAGAAATTTTAATAACAAAATTTTATTAAACAATAATTTATTAATTTTATAGAACAATAAAGGATTATACCTACTTAGAATTACACCATTAGTAGATATTTTCAAAAGTCCCTGTTTATTCATATCCTTTACTAACACTGGGTATTATATACCTTTTTTGTTCTTTGCCAGTCATATGGAAGACAAATGATAGCTTGCTGTAATTTAAAGTTTTAAAATTATAGTCATGGTTAACTGTTGTTTTCATATAGATATTAGTCATTTATTTATGAACTCTTTTTCATCCTTAGTGAAGATCTCTTGATTTGTTTATATTTTCACTGATTTTGTAAGAAGTCAGCTTCTTAAAGAAATAAGCTCTGTCAGAATTTGCAGGTTTTTTTTTTTAAGAGTTTATTTATTTATGCACATATATAACTGAGGTACTGGCCAGAGGTGCAGGGGAAGTGGGAAGATTCACCAGAGACAGAGTGGGGTACAGAACAGACAAATTGGCAAAAGTACACTGCTGAGGGGAGCATCGGGCAGGTCAGGAGAGGTCTGCCATGCCATGTGGGTCACCTTCCTGGACAGAAATCGAACTCATGCTGAAGTGGCTGCTGCTAGCTTTGTAGTGCTGGTCTTTAACCTGTTGCACCACCAGGGAGGGCCCTGCAGGTGTTTTTTGTTTGTTTGTTTGTTTGTTTTTAACATTTGTGGGTATTTTTAATTTCAAATAACCTTAAAAGTGAGTATAAAAAGAACTGAACATTCCAGTAGTATTTTGGTTGAATATCATAAGGACACTGAAGAGGAATAAAAACCAACCTTACAACTTTTGCATGGATTTTGACTGTATCTCAAGAAGGAAAAAAGGAAACATTGAAGTCTTACTACATTTGCCTTTGTGATTTTCCATTCTAGTGAAACTATATTGTGTGTATTTTAGAATTGAGCAAATGAGGGTTTTTTCTTTTAGCATAAGCTGAAGTAAAAAAAAAAATGTAACTCAGATATTGGGGGCTCATTGCTAGGCTACCACAATATAGCAAATGCCACAATAAAGAGTTTTTTTTTTTATTTCCCAGTGTGTGTAAAAGTTATGTTTATATTGTAATATATCTGTAAGTGTGCCAAAACATTGTCTAAAAAGTGTACATACTTAGTTAAAAATATTTTATTGCTAAAAAGTGCTAACTATTATCCAGCCTTCTGGAAGTTGTAAATATTTTTTGCAGGTAAATATTTTTTAGAAAAACAAACACCAAAAAGGCTTGCTTTGCAAAGTGCAGTAAAGCCAAGTGCAGTAAGACAAAGTTCGCCTATAGTTGTTATCAATACATGTCTTGTCCAGTTACTTGCATGGTACAACTACAATTAATGATCTCTAATTATGTGATTATTAAATATGTCACTGTAGCTAGATTGCAAGCTTTAGTTTTTGTAACAAATTACTGATGTCTTAGTAATTTATTTAATTTATGATTGTTTAGTCATAAAGAGAAGTAGTAAGAATATATATTAGATTGCATTCAAAATTAGTCCCTCTACACCTGACAGGAGAAACCCAATTACTGTATAAATATAAACAATAATGTAAGAAAATAATTATTTTTTAAGAGTGGCTTTAAAATGGAACACTGATCTACTTTGGAAACTCTGCTCTTTATTTGATCTATTTTTTCAAAAAGTTGAAAATCCTGGTACTTCAAGCTCTGAGAAACAAAAAAGTTGCGCGGAATGTAACTTGATATTGTAAAAGATTGTTATTAAAGGGAAGTTGTGAAGAAAAATATTTTTGATTTGTGAATGTACAAGTGTTTCGGTTGGTGTTAGGTGGCTCTAATGACCCTTTCCCCTCTATGCAGGTGTAATGGATAGGTAACAGAACAGCTGTCTTCACTGTCTCATTAGGCAGAATGACTGAGTGCTTCCTGCCCCCCACCAGCAGCCCTAGTGAACATCGCAGGGTGGAACATGGCAGTGGCCTTACCCGAACCCCCAGCTCTGAAGAAATCAGTCCTACTAAGTTTCCTGGATTGTACCGCACTGGCGAGCCCTCACCTCCCCATGACAGCCTCCATGAGCCTCCTGATATAGTGTCTGATGATGAGAAAGACCATGGGAAGAAAAAAGGAAAATTCAAGAAAAAGGAAAAAAGGAGTAAGTACCATTCTTCTCTATAATTTAACTATCTTAGATAAATTTTAATCATATGCACCTGCTATCTTCTGGATATAGATGCGTATTTTACATTCTCTGTTCTTTATTTTTCAAGGTCTTAACTTTTGGATGTTAGAGTTGTATTTTGAGGTCTTAATTTCACAAATGGTGGACATTTCTTAAGGTGGTCATTTAAAATAATCTGTTGTATGGTTATACTTTTTATAAATTTAACTCTTAAATCATTACAGTCCAATTGTTTCCTAAAGCCAGTTTGGAATGGGCTGCATTCCAGTTATGCTGTATATAGTTTGAATTATATATAAGTTGCTTCTTCTGGACATGCTCATTATTTTTCAAGGTTTAATAAGTTGTATGCCTGGTGCCTCTCACCTGTTTCAGAGATTATTAATTGATGGCAAAATAGAACTCTCATCATTGAAGGAGGGAGAATAGATGTGTGATTCATCCCAAGATTTTTTGGGTTATGCCATTCGTGGTACTCTGCCTATTCATTGAAATTTTTTTTTTTTTTGGTCTTAATTGTTTTCATCATTTCCTTAGGAAAAGGCTTGACCAATATTAAAGCTATCTTGAGTATAGCCTTTTCCTGTCCAAAGTAAATTAATGTGTGTCCTTAAATGTTTCTTATCTATTGACATGTTCTTGAGGAAAAGAAATTAAATGTCATTCCAAGCAGATGTTGCATGAAATTATTAGCAAATAATTGCTACAACTGTTTTAATTTTTTAGATCAATTACAATAATTAGTGTATAATAAGATGTAAGCCTTTGCTTTTTATTTTTCCTATTTCCATTGGTTTCATAATGTAAATACTATATGTTGAACAGATTAAGTTCCAAGACTTTGTTATCATAGTTCATGTTAATAGTGGAACTGTTGGTTTAGAAATTTTTGTGGTTAATGTTAGTGTAAAATTACTAGATGATGTATAGCTCTAGAAGTGAATTTTAAGGAATTCCCTAGTTATGTAAACTTTTAATCTGAGGTGTAAATATACTGTGCCAAATAAAATAATGCATAAAACATTGAAATTTTGCCCTTGTCAAATCTTACTTTCTTGCATTGGTTTGTATTGCCCAATTGGGGTAAATGTTTTGGAACTGTGGAAAGTGTAATTTATTCATCTGTCTTAAGCAAATGTGGTGCATACATACCTGTTCTGCTAGGGAGAACAGTTGTTTAAGCATAGCTCTCTGTTATGTTAAAAGTATGTAAGGTGTGTTATTTTAAATATTTCTTTATTTTTAGTTTCATGATATTTTAAAATTAGTTTATATTAAAGCATAGTATATAGATAGAATGCAAAATTTGTGTACCGTTGATGAATTATCACAAAATGGATATGCCTGTCCTCTATAAGGCTGTGGAAACAATGATTTATAAGCACCTAGAAATACCTTTCTTTTGCCCCTTCAAAGGAAATCCTTCATCCCTCTCAAAGGTAAACTTCTTTACTACCTGATTTTCAAATTTTAAAAATAGAAAAGTATTTCCTTTTGTGTTTATTTTCTTTTGCCCTTTTGCTTGTTAGATTTATCCATGTTATTTTACAGGTTGGTAATTTGTTCATTTTTATTGCTGGAACTATATATATATGTATTTTTTTAAAGTTTTTATTTATTTATGTATACAGAACTGGGGTACAGGTCAGAGGTGCAGGGAAGGTGAGAGTATTCACCAGAGACAGAGTGGGGAGCAGAACAGGCAGATCGACAAAGTACACTGCTGAGGGGAGCAGCAGGCGGGTCAGGAGAGGTCTGCCGCATCATGTGGATCACCTCCAGGGCAGGCGGGGATCGAACTGATGCTGAAGTGGCTTTAGCTTCTTAGTGCAGTGCTTTAACCTGCTTGCGCCACCAGGGAGGGCCCTGGAACTATATTTTAAACTAGAATTGTTTTCCGTTTTTAACTGTTAGGAGCAGTGCTTCTGTGAACACTATTGTAAATATTTATACAGTTTTGTTGTATATATGCCTGGGAGTAGAATTGCTTACTCATAAGCTATGCTTATTTCAGCTTATTAAGATCCTACAAAACAATTTTCCAAAGTGGTTGTACCAGTTTACACTCCCACCAACAGTGTCTGAGAACTCCAATTTCTTTACATCGTGTTATTACCCTCTTAGAATTTTTGTAATACTGATTTGGTGTGGATGTTTGTGGTTTTTTAATTAGAGTAATTTATGAAATATCTTTAATCTTTGTCATAAAGTAAGGACTAAAGAAAGGGAGAATTATAGATACTGAAAAACAGCAAAACAAGTTAGGATAACTCTGATATGACAGAAAGTAATTGGCAGTATGTGAAAACCAAGACTCTGATGTAGGGAAATGGGCTAACAGATACACCACCATTCAGACTATAGTAGGGAACTTCCTGTTTGCTTGTTTCTTTTTCCCCAGCGAAATGAGGCTGTCATCCCCTACTACAATCTCCAGAAAGAACTTAACAGCTAGTAACTGGAGAATGAAGTGTGATAGAGGAAAAGATTGCAGCATCTAAGCAATAATGCAGTTTGTGTCATGGTTTTAGATTACTTCACATTACAGGTACCGATAATAAAAAAAATCCACGCCTAGTAAAGTTAGTAAATTAGAGGATATTATTCAGATGACAAAAGAATGCTCTATTTTATATGGTTATTTCTCTTAACCCTCTATGTAGAGTCTTTCTCATGCAATTATAATATTTGCTTTGCCACAATTCTACTTATACACACATGAAATAAAACCAGTTTAACCACCTGTGATTGGAAGGATAACAAGATTTACTGCATATCTCCCTCTTGTGGTCAGGAGACTGTCTCATTTTAGCTGAAAGGAATCCTTTCAGGAAGTTGACTCTGAAAAGTTAGGTAGATAATACCAGGTAGCACTTTTTTGGTCCTGATTTTAAAAACAGATGGACAGTTTGAAGTTAAACATATAATGCATTCTTACCTGTGTTTCTTTGACAGCTGAAGGCTATGCTGCTTTTCAGGAAGATAGCTCTGGTGATGAAGCTGAAAGTCCTTCCAAAATGAAGAGGTCCAAGGGAATCCATGTTTTCAAGAAGCCCAGCTTTTCAAAAAAGAAAGAGAAGGATTTTAAAATAAAAGAAAAACCAAAAGAGGAGAAACATAAAGAAGAAAAGCACAAAGAAGAAAAACATAAAGAGAAGAAGTCAAAAGACTTAACAGCAGCAGATGTTGTTAAACAGTGGAAGGAAAAGAAGAAAAAGAAGAAGCCAATTCAGGAGCCAGAGGTGCCTCAGATTGATGTTCCAAGTCTCAAGCCCATTTTTGGAATTCCTTTGGCTGATGCAGCAGAGAGGACCATGATGTATGACGGGATTCTACTGCCAGCAGTTTTCCGTGAATGTGTAGACTATGTAGAGAAGTATGGCATGAAGTGTGAAGGCATCTACAGAGTTTCAGGTATTGGGGCATGTACTTGTTGGTTTTCAAAAATTTGCTACACTTTTGTTTTTCAAAAAGGGAAAATGTTAACTTGTGGGAAAGACTCTGACATGGGTCCTAAGCCCTGTTCATTTCCTTGAATCTTTGAGTTGAAACATAAGTCCCCTGCACTCTTTGTTTGTAACTTGTGTGTGTGTGTGTGTAGGAGAGAGTACGCACACTGTTGTTGTTGTTGTTTTCATGATATTACCTTCCACTAGGAGGATTTACACATAAGTTGGTCACAGCTTGTAGAAAACTGAGATGAGATGAAGGAAAGCATCAAGTGATGTCTTTTATGTTGGGTGCATTTATACCCTGTTACTTTTTCCCCTCACTGTCTGCCTTTCTAAAAGAGGCTCAGTTTGAAATCAGCAGGAAAAGAATGGCTATCTGGGTTAAGAGCACTTCTTGGCCAGGAGACATATTTATCACACAGTCACATGTAAAGGATATCTGGGTTAAGGGCGCTTGTTGGCCAGGAGACATTTACGACACAATCATACAAAGATTTTCTGGGACATGAATGCTATTAAATGTTTAAGCCGCCACTGTGAATGGTTCTATCAGCCATGGGCAGCCTAAAATAGTGAAACAAATATTGGTGAAATTGATTTCCCTTTTATCTGTTCTATATATATGAAAATTTAAATTTCATATTTGCTGAGAATCTAATTCATATTGAGTATGTGAAATCAAACAAAATGTATTATTTAAAATAAAAACACTCTTATAAAGTAGTAGGATTGGTTAAGGACGAAAGTCCTGAAGTGACAACATCTGTGTCCAACTTAATTTCTTAGTACTAGAGACTTATTTGGTAAAATTCATTTTTGGCCACACATATTTTCATGATGAGGCAAATCATCGTGATGAGGTAAATACATAGAGTAGACTTAGTTTTTCAATTTACTTGGTTCATATGCAATTAGAAGGTAGGTTTGATATTTAAATTTTGAGGAGAAAAGTCTTGCATTTTTTGGTAGTAATTGGGAAAACCTTTACATAATACCATAGATCAAGTTATCATGTAAGAGGATTTTTGCTAGAATACTAAAATTTATGGAAAATTAGACAAATTAGTCATAGAATTTGAGTTGATAACTTCCTAAAAATGAAAAAAATGTATTTAATTTGAAAATTTGACTTGTAAGGATAATTTATGATGGATTGATTTTTAAAGATTTAAACAATACTAATTTAGCTGCTTCTCACAGATGGCTTTTATAGGTAGGGAGAAGTTTTGTCTTGGGTGAAGGTTTCCCAGAAGTAATTCTGCAGCATTGCTCAAAGGATTCTTTTGTCTTTGACCTATTTTTAGTGTTTGCATTCTTTTGGAGAGTCAGAGTTGCAGAACTTCTCTGTATTTGTGTGTCAGAGCATTGAAACTGAATCCTTGCCCTGACTAGAGAGGAAGGATGGGGGAAGCCAACTGAGCTGTTCCTTGACTAGTAGGGGGTCTGGGGGTGCTAAGCTCCTGCTTTGATAAATTTATTTTATTAAACCCTAGCAGTACGCTGCATTCAGCACACTGTGGACTACAGAATTTATGGCTGTGACGTTTCTTTTTTTAATGCTAATACTAGAACTGTTCTTTGATGGGAAATTTTTAGTTCTCATTTACTCATATGTAAGTTCCAATTTTAAAACTATATGCTCTCGCTCTACCTGGAATACTTTGAAGTGCCTGATTTTTAAAAGGAAAACATTTTTATAATATCAGAGTGACAGTAACCAAACACATATTCTGATTGTTCACTTGTACAATTTTCTAGGTAAGCTCTGATAGGGAAGAAAAGATACCTGTGAGAGAAACAAGAGGCCTTTGCCAGTAATTTCAATAAGTTATCATTTACTGTGTTTTACTTGTATTGTCATAAAAGTAAGAAAATAGGAATTATTTTTTAAATTTAACACTCAAAATTAAAAATCATATAAAAAAATAAGGTTTACGTTGTTATTTCACATTAGGAGTTACTGATTTTATTATGTTAATGCTGGGTCAGTTACAAATCATCGTAATTCCATTTAAAGGTTTTCACATAAGCTAAGGAATGTCAAAGCCCAGATGTTGAACACACTTGATTGTAAAGTGCTATTTAGATTAGTTGTTACTTGAATATTCATATTTACCATTATAATCTATCTGCCTTCATTTTTGACGTATTTCAAATAATTGACCTAAAGTTTTAAGTATTAAAAATAATGAATGCTATTTGGCATGAGCAATCACTGTCACTGAATTGTCATTTAGATGCAGATTGAACTAGAGGCTTATGTAATGTTTGTTAAACATACATTTTATATATCAGCATTTCCTTATGTCTAGCAAGAAAAGCAAACAAATTGATTTTAGAAATACAGATTTTTGTTCTCTCTGTTGTAGATTAAGAAAGCGTGAAAAACTCAAAAACTTTTTTGATGTTGCCACCTTTTTTTTTAAATTGAGGTAGCATTGGTTTATACTGCTGTATGTAATTCAGAGGTATAGTGTGTTACCTTTGCAGACATATATGAGCGATATTTACCACAACTACACCAGAACACCCATAGTCCTTCACCATAGTAGAGGGAATTCACAGGAAATTCTCCATTAAAGAATCCATGGGAATTTTCAGAAAGTTTGTTTAAGTGAATTAACCTTTTACATTTATATTAGTTTTTACTTATAAAAGAAGTAATTATCCACTTTTTGGAACATGCTTATATACAACAGTCATAACAATGTTACAATTACTTTGAAAAATCAATTAGCAGCCCTTGTAAAGCAAGAATAATTAGGCTTGGAGTGTAGTTTAATTCTTGCCTGAATTTTTATATACCTATGTTTAAATTTTTTTTTTAAAGATTTATTTATTTGTGCATACAGAACTGGGGTACAGGCCAGAGGTGGAGGGGCGGTGAGAGGATTCACCAGAGACAAAGTGGGGAGCAGAACAGGCAGATCAACGAAGTACACTGCTGAGGGGAGCAGCGGGCGGGTCAGGAGAGGTCTGCCACGCCATGTGGATCTCCTCCAGGGCAGGCGGGGATCGAACTCATGAGGAAGTGGCTTAAGCTTCTCAGTTCTGTGCTTTAACCCACTGCACCACCAGGGAGGGCCCTATGTTTAAATTTTTAAAAGAAATTTTTCTCTGCTTCATATGTGCTTGTGGTTGCTTTAACTTTTGTTCTGAATTATTGATTCTTTTTATTATTTAGTTTTGGGTTAAAATCAGCCTCAAAGTTTTAGTCTTACATTATCTTTTTACTGAGGAATTATATGAATCTTGTGCATATAACTGCAAGTTTGTTAATGTCAGTTTGCCTCTTTCAGTCACACACACCGCCCCCCCTCCCCAACCCTTTAGGGTTGGTGAGGAAAGCTGTGTATTTGACTTTTCCCCTTGATGTTCTCTTTCTCTTTTGAACTTGATTTTTTTTTAAAAGGAATTAAATCAAAAGTGGATGAGCTGAAAGCAGCCTATGACAGAGAGGAGTCTCCAAACTTAGAAGACTATGAGCCTAATACTGTAGCCAGTTTGCTGAAGCAGTATTTGCGAGAACTTCCAGAGAATCTGCTTACCAAAGAGCTTATACCCCGCTTTGAAGAGGCTTGTGGGAGGAGCACAGAGAATGAGAAAGTGCAGGAACTCCAGCGCCTACTGAAGGAACTGCCAGAATGTAACTATCTTCTAATTTCCTGGCTCATCGTGCACATGGACCATGTTATTGCAAAGGAACTGGAAACAAAAATGAATATACAGAACATTTCTATAGTGCTCAGTCCAACTGTTCAGGTACATAGCCTTCTCTGTACACTGCCTCTGGTGCTAGCCCTGCAGAATTGGGGATGCAACTTTTTGTTGCTGAGCTGTATACAAAACAGTTAACCAGAGAAAGTAGATAATGGATTAATCTGAATATTGTTCTTTTTCTTTCATAATATGGACAGTGTCTACATAGAAGGTAATGAGCATATTTGCCCTTCAACTTGTAACTATGTATTTAAATGCTGTAGTGTGCAATATGAGTTTATAAAGCAGTTCCTGGTGACAGTGACCGATATGAGTAGAGACAGAGCCATTGATGCCCACAATTAGTTCATCTCTTAAATCCTAAAGGTTTTAGTTATTTTATCAGGTAGAGTTATTGCTAAATTATGTCACATACACATAATTAGACTCAGACACAGAGGGGCCTAACCTTATTGTTTGGCCAGGGTTTTGATCTGAGAATCTGATTCATAAAGATAGAAGAGAAACATCTTTTTTTAAAAAAATTTAATCTGTTGAATCATTTAAGGGTATGGAATAGTAATTGGCATCTCCTTTGAACATACTTAGCTTTCATTTCATTGTTGCTCATTTGGTGCTGACCTAGAATATGTGTTTAATTAGTCAAATGATATTTTACTTAGGCTGAAAAAATAAAAATAAAAATAAGTAAATAGTTACAATTTTTATCTTAAATCCACTTTTTGGCCAGTATGCTAGATTATTAGCAATCATTATCTATTTTAACATCTGTTAAAAAATACAGATGCTTTCATTGCTCATTTGATCATTCATATCAGTAAGGAATTCAGAATTTGTTGGGTAAACATATTATTACATAAAATTACTATAATAGAGATTATAGTATCACAGAAGACTGAGGTATGTTGTATTGACTGGTCTGAGGTAGGAAGTTTTGTTTTTTTTTCTCTTTGACTAGCTTTTCAATGAACCTGATGACCTGGTCTCTTAGCTTCTGAGAATCAAGTTTGAGTACTAACTATGCGAGTGCACCTAGAAAGGATTTATTTCTGTAGTGAGGGCTGTCACATTCTCATTTTAGTTTCACAACTGCAAGTGTTCTTATGTCCTTCCTGTTCCTTGGTAGATCCAGTAGTGTATGTTAAAATTTCTCAAAATAACTTCAAACACCAGATGGGATTTGGGGGCAAAAAAAATAAAAAGGATGCAGAAACTAGTGACCAGACGTTTATTCTTTTTTAGCACTAGAGTAGCAATTCATTATAATATAAAATGATTTTTTAAAACTTATTTTCTTTATTTTAAAGTTTTTATAATAAATTATAATAAAATACAAATACTTAAGTAATAAAATATGTTAAATGCCTACTTAAATATAAAATATTTATTTACATACTTATTTAAAATACAAAATTATTTAAAATATAAAATTTTATAATAAAGAAAATAAGTTTTAAAAAATCATTTGATATTGTAATGAATTGATGCTCTATTGCTAAAAATAGAACAAATTTGTGGTCACTAGTTTCTGCATCCTTTTATTGTTTTTTTTTTTTTAAAGATTTATTTATTCATGCATACAGAACTGGCATACAGGCCAAAGGTGGAGGGGCGGTGAGAGGATTCTCCAAAGACAGAGTGGGGAGCAGAACAGGCCGACTGATGAAGTGCACTGCTGAAGGGAGCAGCGGGCGGGTCAGGAGAGGTCTGCTGCACTATGTGGATCACCTCCCAGGCGGGGATTGAACTCATGCTGAAGTGGCTTTAGCTTCTTAGTGCTGTGCTTTACCCTGCTGTGCCACAGGGAGGGCCCCTTTTATTATTTTTTTACCCCCTAATTCCATCTGGTGTTTTAGTACATGACTTCCATATATTTTTCTATTCTCTATTTTACTTATTTAAAGATATATTTATTGTACATACAAGAACTGGGTACTGGCCAGAGGTGTAGGGAGGGGGGTGAGAGGATTCACCAGAGACAGAGTGGGGAACAGAATGAACAGGCAGATGACTGAAATATACTGATGAGGAGAACAGTGGGTGGTAAGGCAGGAGAGGTTTGCTCTACCATGTGGGTCAGCTCCCTTGCCTGGGATCAAACTTGTATTGCAGATAGCTTCATAGTGCTGTTCTTTAATCTGTTGCACCACCAGAGCGGGCCCTATTCTTTTAAAGTGGCCACTAATAAGCAATGAATGTCTAGTCACTGGGAGGAGAATTCACATGTTCAGGATTAAAGAATGTTCTATGCAGTAGATACAAGTCAAATTTTAAAAGTGGATAATTTTAATAATTTTGTTACAAATCTTTTGATTTTTTTTGCCCCTTAGATTAGCAACCGTGTTCTGTATGTGTTTTTCACACATGTGCAAGAGCTCTTTGGAAATGTGATTCTAAAGCAAGTGACAAAACCTCTCCGATGGTCTAACATGGCCACCATGCCCACACTGCCAGAAACACAAGAGAGCATCAAGGAGGAGATCCGGAGACAGGTATATGGGCTCAGCCCTGTGCTTCGATCTGAAGAACCTACCTTTGTTGTTCCCCTTTTGGGCGCTGTTGATAGTGATGAACTTCTTTGAGCACTTTCTGTGTATCTGGAGCTACTTAGGCACATTCTTCATACTGTACCAAAGTCAGGCATTTCCAGTTGGCTCTATTTCATGCCACTTAATTTAGGCCTGACTTCTAAGTTCTTGCTCTGCTCATAATTGACTGACTGATTTTAAGAAAATTGCTTAACCTCAGTGATTCCATTTTAAATAAGTCCTCTCAGTGGTGTTCAATGTGAAGATTACCTTAAATGAGTTATAATGCATTAAAGATGTTCTGCACAGCACTGGACATGTTGTAAACAGCCCAAGAATGCTATTAGATAGGATTGCTGTTAATGACCTTATTTTACTTATAAGAATGCTGAAATTTGGAAATGTTTAGTAATTTACTGTGTCATATGGTTACTAAAATATTGAACAAAAATTTGAACCCAAATCCTGTGCTTTTCTGCAATGCTATTTTGTATGTTTGCAAGTGGAGTAAGAAATATATGACTAAATAAGAAATCTATTTACATTCAATTATATGTCTTTTACTTACATGCAAATTATCAAATCCTTGCTTATTTTGCTTCCTCTGAGCTCTGTTTCTTATTGGTTGGTGGTGTGTTGGTATGTTGGTTTGTGGTATGTTATAAATTCATGAATGAGAACTGTTGCTCAGGCAGAGCAAATAAAAATGATTTTCTAATCTTTTTGCAAAACAATTTATACCATTATTCTAGCCCTTTAATATTAGTGAAAATCATTTGATTCTGCATCTTTACAAATTACATGTAGTGTTATTTTAAAATAAGACTTGGAATAGCAATGTGTGGTATGTTTTTCCTAGGAGTTTCTTCTGAATTGTTTACATCGAGATCTACAGGGTGGGATAAAGGATTTATCTAAAGAAGAAAGATTATGGGAAGTACAAAGGATTTTGACAGCCCTCAAAAGAAAATTGAGAGAAGCTAAAAGACAAGTGAGTAAATTTATTTCTTAGGTATATCATGTTTATATTAAAACTGAAAAATGCATTGGAATATTTTATATACTATTTTAAGTTATTTCTTTTAAAATATTATATATAAACTACTTACACACATTGATACGCACACACACATATCCACTTCTGGCTTATTGATCCTTCAGCTTAGTTCCAGACAAATGTTTTGTTTAATTAAAAAAGTTGGGTTTTTTTTGGGCCCTCCCTGGTGGCGCAGCGGTTTAAAGCATAGCACTAAGAAGCTTAAGCCACTTCGGCATGAGTTCGATCCCCGCCTGCCCTGGAGGTGATCCACATGGCGCAGCAGACCTCTCCTGACTCGCCCACTGCTCCCCTCAGCAGTGTACTTCCTCAATCTGCCTGTTCTGTTCCCTGCTTTGTCTCTGGTGAATCCTCTCACCCTCCGCATCTCTGGCCTGTACCTCAGTCCTGTATGAATAAATAAATAAATCTTAAAAAAACAAAAAAGTTGGGTTTTTTTAATCCAACTTGATTTTACTGAAAGATGTTTTCTCATTTCTTGCTTGGCTGTACCTGTATACACAGCTTTCTAACTATGAGAAGCAGATAGATGGGTTACATTTCAGAAACTACTGGGGAACTTAAGACCTTTAGAATGAGTCATCGCTGTGGAAACACATGGAAGGTAGTGATGATCAAGAGGAATTTTCTTTACTTACTTATAGGAAGCATGTCATGTGACTCCTGATAAGTTTGGGGTATGTGAGCCACAAAACTTTTCATTTTCCCTCTACTGTATATTGTTTGTTTTAAAACTGTTGAGTTTCCCAGTCATCCATGACTAAGATACCAAACCTTTGGATCCCCTTACAACTCACATGCAGATTCAACAGCAGACTCCAAGCAGCATTTCAGAGGAACATTATAATGAGCCATGCCCTTTCATTCAGTGAGGGACCACATGTACTACAGTGTTTGCAAAAGTCCTATTGCCTGGTGACATCAGAATGTCCTGGTGTTTTATGCTGGCAGCAGCCTCATATATCTGTTGTTTACCTCTTGTCTTGATTTTCTCCCTTGTTCTCTCTCTCATCACAGTCCCTAAGTACACAGTTAGTGCACAAAATCCACTGCTAGTATTGCCAGTAAGAGGCACTATGTTGCCACATCAAGTGACTGATCTGGAAATTAAAAGTGATTAAGGACTAATGGAAAATGTGCTGGGTATTGCTAATCAGTCAGGCATGTCCCATTTGACCATAGCTGTGATCCTGAAGATCAGGAACAAAGTGGCAGAAACTTTTAAAGGATGTGCTTCAGTGAAAGCAGTAAGGCTAATAATTGAGACATGCCTATATTAGATATAAAGAAATTTTATGACCTAGGTTAAAGACTAGTCACAGTATATCCCTGTCAGCTCTATGATTATCATGACCAAAGCAGAAAGTATGTTTTTGATGTTGAAAGAGAAGGCTAGACCTTATTAGGCTAGCTCTGGGTAGTTTAAAAAGTTCAAGAATCATCATTCATTACATAATGTCCAAGTGAGTAGTGAATCTGCAAGTACAGATTCCACATGCAGCTAAAATGTTTTTGAAAAGTCTGAATAAGCTGATTTGTAGAGGAAACATAACTTGCCAAAATGGATGAGACCTTCCTATTCGGGGCCATATCAATGCCAGGTTTCAAGGCTTTTAAGGACAGTGGGACAGTCTTGCTTGGGGACAGTGTTGCAGACCACAAATTAAAACCCTTTGTGGTCTGACACAACGAGAACCCCAAGACCATGAAACATAGAAGTAAGCACTCTGGTTTGTTCTGTAGGAGCAGTAAGAGGTTATGAATGAAATTGTAAAAAAAAAAAAAGTTTAAAATTTCAATAGAAAAAGGTTATGAAAAAGGATATAAAGAAAATATTTCTGTATACCTGTGCAATGTGTTTGTTTTATGATGTTATTACAAAAGTCAGAAGTTGAAAAATATTTTAATGTTATAAAGTTACAGTGAAATTAATGCATTATTGAAGAAAGAAAATTATTTTATATAAATTTAGTATAGCCTAAGTATATAGTGTTTATAAAGTCTACATTCATGTACAGTCATGTCCTAGGCCTTCACATTCACTCACCACTCACTCAGTGACTCACCCAGAGCAACTTCCAGTCCTACGGACTTCATTGATGGTAAGTGCCCAATACAGGTGTACTTTTTTTATTTTTTAATACCGTATCTTTACTGTGTGTTTTTTAAGTCTAGATATATTTAGGTACAGAAGTACTAGTACACCTGACTGCCATATGTAGCGCAGTAACATGCTCTATAGGTTTGTAGCCCTCTGTACAGTAGCCCTATGTCCATACACTAGCATTTGCACAGCAGTGAAGTCACCTACCAGCACATTTCTCAGCATGTATCCTCATCCTTCTACACATGGCTGTCCTTAGCTTTTATCAGACTGGGAAAACATGGTTGATGTGGGTTGCCTTTGTGGTTGTGCTTGCAGTACAAAGACAACCCAAGTATTTTTGTTGCCCAGAGTTTGGAGATTTGCGTGTATTTGGAGACTATCTTTGTCAGAAGGAAAACATTCATGAGCTTTTTACACTTGCAGAAGTGTAAAAGGACTAATAGACTAGCAGAAGTTCTGTCTGAAATTTTCTTCCTTCTTTTCCCCTGTTTGTTAGACTACCATATTATTGTTGTTGTTATTCCCTTAAATAGTTCATCCTGATACTGGGTTAATGTTAGTTACTGACCCACCCCATGGTTATAATTGTTCACCATGAGGTACTGCCCATCAGCATTTAAGTAAGGGTGTCTGACACAGGCCAGGATTCATGTATACTTGTCTTTCATTTCTCTTACTTCTGCATGTCCCTTGGATTAAGGAATCATCATATAGCAAGTCAGAGCCAATGTAGACAGGAATGGATTACTTTATCAGTTTTCTTGTTACTCTATTTTCATGCCTGTTCAGTAATTCACAAAATACTCAAAAGTTTCTGTCAAGTTAACTTCAACATTGAGAAATTAAATGACTTTTAAGATGTACTGTAGTTCAAAATATATCAGACTAAAAATGGAAAAATACACAAGATCACATCAGGAGATGCTAAAATAAAAGCACTAGGCAGAATTTAACACTTACTATACAAACTGCTATAAACAACTTTCTTACTCTGACAAAAAGCATCTATGAAAAAAGTTCTACTTAATGGTGAAAGTTTGACTGCCCTCCCAAAGGGCTGCTGGGTAGCAATGTACTGCATGATGCTGTGTCAGTCTACAGCAGCGGTCATTGCTGCAGTCACTTTAGAAAATACTTTACCAGTTCATAAAGTTAAATATATGGTTACTATGGGCTCTCCCTCGTGGCGCAGTGGGTTGAAGCACGGCATTAGGAAGCTCTACAAAGCCACTGTAGCACAAGTTTGATCCCCAGTCAGGGAGCTGACCTCTCCTATCTCGCCCCTTCTCCCCTCAGCAGTGTATTTCAGTAGATCTGCCTGTTCTGCTCCCCACTCTGTCTCTGATGAATCCTCTCACCCACCACAACTCTGGCCTGTACCCCAATTCTGTAAGCATAAATAAAATCTTATAAAGAATTCATATATAGGCCCTCCCTGGTGGCGCAGCGGGTTAAAGCACAGCACAAAGAAGCTTAAGCCACTTCCACATGAGTTCGATCCCCACTTGCCCTGGAGGAGATCCGCATGGCGAGGCAGACCTCTCCTGACCCACCCGCTGCTCCCCTCAGCACTGTACTTCGTCGATCTGCCTGTTCTGTACCCCGCTCTGTCTCTGGTGAATCCTCTCACCCTCCGCATCTCTGGCCTGTACACCAGTTCTGTATGAATAAATAAATCTTAAAAAAAATTCGTATATATATATATATATTATATATATAATATATATATAATATATATATGGTTACTATATGACCTGTGACCCACAACCTCACTTCTAGGTATTTAAGAGAACAAAGCATATATTCTCAAAAAACATACACAGATGTTCATAACAGCTCTAAAAATACTAGCTTAAAAGCTGGAAAGGAGCCAGTGTGTATAGGCTATTGGATAAATTGGAGTATATATCATGGCAAATTATTGATACAAACAAAACAATGGGTGAGTTATAAAGCATTATGTTAAATGAAAGAAGCTAGATAAAAAGACTGCTTAGTGATTGATACAATTTTTAATTAAATATATCTTAATATATACATTGTTCAGTTTTGCATTATGTTTGAAGTTTTCCTCTCAGTTGTAATCCCTATAAAATTCCCACCACGAAGTCACCCATGACCTGTCATCACAGTCTCTTGTGCTTTTCTCTGCCCTGATTTGATCCTGCTCCCTCCTCTCCCCTGCTGTGTCTCTTATTTATAGCTTGCCTTCTAGTTTTCTCTTTTTTTTTCTTTCCCTACCCTTTCTTTGGTTCCCCTGCATGCCTCCTATAAGTGAAACCATCCAATATTTTTCTTTTTCTTTCTATTTCACTGAGCATAATGCCTCCAGTTCTGTCCATGTTGCTGCAAATGGCATGAGGCTTTTTGATTGCTGAGTAGTATTCCATTGTATATATCTGCCACATCTTCTTGATCCAGAGATTTACTTTTGGACATTGGGATGTTTCCGTATTTTGTTATTGTAAATAGTATTGCAGTGATCATAGGTGTAGGTTTCCTTTTGAATTAATGGGTTTGTGTCCTGTAGGTAGATTCCCTGGAGTGAAATTGCTGGATCACATTGTAAATCCAATTTTAGTAATTTGAGGGTCCTCCACAAGCTTTCCATATGGTTGGGCCAGTTTGTATTTCCACCAGTAATATAAAAAGGGTTCCTTTTTTCCACGCCCGCATCAGCATATGTTGTTGTTATTTTTTTTTAATGTGGGCCATTCTTACCGGTGTGAGGTGATACCTCATTGTGGTTTTGATTTGCATTTCCTTGATTATAAGGAATGTTGAGCATTTTTTCACATAGCTGTTGGCCTTCTGCTTTTCCTCTTTGGAGAAGTATCTTTTTAGTTCTGTCCATTTTTTGACTAGATTCCTTGTTTTTGTTGAGTTGTGTAAGCTCTTTAAAGATCTTTGTGTTCAGTCTCTTACCGGTTGTGTGGAATGCAGATATTTTATCCCCAATCTGTAGGATCTCTTCATCTTGGTTATTGTCTCTTTTGCTGTACAGAAGCTTTTTAGTTTACTGTAGTCCCAGCTGTTTATCTTTTCTTTCATTTTCTTTGCTTCAGTGTATGTGTTTTTAGAGGTGTTTCTGAGATGTAGGTCATGGAGTGCTTTGCCTATGTTTTCTTGTACATATTATATGATTTCAGCTTATATTCAGGTCTCTTACCAGTTTTGAGTTGGTTTTTGTATATGGCGTGAGATAGTAGTCCAGTTTCATTCTTTTGCATGACTATTCAGCTTATATGAAACTCAAGGAAAGGAAAAGCTCCAGCAATGGAAAGCATGTCAGTGGACTCAGGGCCCACAGATGTTGGCAGAACCTCTCCACATCAGTTTGTGTGATGATGGGAATGTTCTGTATCATGACCATAGGGGTATTTACTTAAATGTATACATTTGTCAGAACTCTTTGAAATGTATGCTTAAAATTGACTCCCTACCAAAGAAAAAAAAAAAAAAAACACACAGAAGGTAATTTATGTGTAATGGTGAGCCAGAATTGAGCAATTTTTGTAGTATAGCCACGGACTAAAATCCACGTTATTTTCCAAGCCCAGTTAACAATTGCCCAGTTATCAAGATTATTCTTCTGACTTTCAGTTACTTTTTCAATTTATAATGGTGATAATATGAATCTGTTGAATATGTGTCACATTTGGACCGACCCGTTCTTCTTCATTTGTCTTATTTGACAGGAGTGTGAAACCAAGATTGCACAAGAGATAGCCAGTCTTTCAAAAGAGGATGTTTCCAAAGAAGAAATGAATGAAAATGAAGAAGTTATCAATATTCTCCTAGCCCAAGTAAACTAACCTTTTGTCTCTTTTTTGAAAGACTTTAAAAAATAAAAATTGTATATATTTAAGGTATACAATATAATGATTTGATCACATATGTAGTGAAATGACTACTACAACTAATTGTGTGTGATGAGAGCCCCTGAAAGTTACTGCATTAGTCAACACAGTATTATTTACTACAGTCATCGTGCCTTACATTAGATTTCTAGACATATTAATCACATAATTGCAGCCTTGTACCTTTGACCAACATCTTAGAATGGTACCTTTGTACCATTTTCCCCCACCCACTAGCCCTGGTAACCACCATTTAATCTTATGAGCTTGACCTTTTTTTTTTTAATCTGCGTATTAGCTATGTCATATAGTATGTCTCTCCCTGCCTGGCCTGTTTCACTTAATATCTTCCATTTTTATCCATGCTGGCATAGTGCTAGCGTCTCTTTCTTTTTCATGAATGAATGATTTACTTGTGTGTCTGTGTCTACACACATGTACTACATCTTTATCTATTCATCTGGCATTTATGTTGCTTCCGTATTTTGGCTATTGTGGATACTGTTTCAGTGAACTTGTGAGTGCAGTTATCTCTTATCCTGTTTTCATTTCCTTTGGATATATACCACAATTGAGATTGTTGGATCATATTTTTTTAGGAACCTCCATACTGTTTTCCATAATATTGTACCACTGTATATCCCACTAAAGACGTAAAAGTGTTCCTCCCCCCCTTTTTAAAAAATAATAACCATTCTAAGATGTGTAAAGAAGATATATTGCTGTGTTTTTCATTTGCATTTTCCTAGTGACGATTGATATTGAAAACCTTTTCATTTATCTGTTTGTCATTTGTCTTCTTTTGAAAATTGTATTCAGGTCATTTTTCTAATCTTGGTAGTTTTTGCTATTTATTTGAGTTCCTTATATTTTGAATATTAACCCCTTATCAGATGTATGGTTTGTAAATATTTTCTCATTCCAAAGGTTGTCTTTTCATTCCGTTATTTTTGTTGCAGAAGCTTTCTAGTTTGATGTATCTCCATTTGTTTATTTTTGCTCTTGTCTGTACTTTTGGGGTCATAGCCAAAAAGTGATTACCCAGACAAACTTTTCCCTAAGTTTCCTTCTAATAGTTTCATGGTATTGAGATCTTACAGTTAAGTCTTCAGTTCAGTTTGAGCTGATTTTTGTATATTGAGTGAATGAAGGGTCTAGTTTGAATGCTTTTCATGTGGAAAACCAATTTACCCGACATCATTCATTGAAGAGCCTATCCTTTTCTCACTGTGTGTTCTGGACACCTTTATTTAAAATGAATTGACAAAAAAAAAAAAAAAAATTGACCATAAAACATGTATTTATTTCTTGGTTATGTCTGTTCTATTGGACTATTTCTGTTTTTGGGTCATTGCCTTATTGTTTTGATTGTCATAGCTTAATGATAGTGTGATGCCTCCATCTTTATTTCGTTCATGATTGCTTATTATTTTCGGTCCACAAACATGGAATATCTTCACATTTATTTTTATCTTAAACTACTAATTAGTAGTTTATGGTTTTTCCATGTACAGATCTTTTACCTCTTTGCTAATGTATTGTCTTTTTGTTTTCGTCATTTCTTTCTCACATAGTTCATTATGAATGTGTAGAAATGAACTGACTTTTTTGGATGTTGAATTACTATCAGCAGCTTTACTATTAGTTCTAATGTTGCTTAGTGGCGTCGTTAGGGTTTTTATAAGATTGTTTTATAAGATCAATTGTCTATACACACACAGTTTTACATTTTTTTTCACTTTGGATACCTTTACTTTCTTGGCTAATTATTCTGTTTAAAACTTCATTGATGCATTAAATACTACATTAAATACTCTTGCATGTTGGCTGTGGGCTTTATTATCTATACTATATTGAGTACATTTATTCTTAGACTCAACTTTTCTGAGGTTTTTTTAAAGTTTTGTAAAATGCTTTTTCTGATATTTAGATGAATATATGATATTTGTCTTTTATTTGTTAGTTAATTGATTTTTCTATGCTGAGCCATCCTTTCTCCAACGGGTAAAAACCACCTGGTCATGATGCACAGTTCCCTTTATATGCTATTGAATTTGGTCTGCTAGTATTTTTGTTGAGGACCTTTACATCTATGTTTCTCAGGGATATTGGCCTATAATAATATCTTCATGTAATGTCCATATTCTGCCTTTTATTTCAGGGGGCAGTGAGTTTGGAATTGTTCCCTTCTATTCAATTTTCTGGGTGACTTGGAACATTTGAACAGGATTAGCATTAATTATTTAAATTTTTGATAGAATTCACTTCTGAAGCCACCTGGTACTAGCTTTTTCGGTTTGGAGATTCAGTCCTTGTTTTTAAACTTTTCACATTTCCTATTCATGATTTAGTCTTGGTAGCTTATATGTCTCTAAGTACGTGTTCATTTCTCTATGGTATTCAGTTTGTTAGCATATACATGTTTATAGTAGTTAGTCTCTTAGAATCTTCTACATTTCTTTTTTAGCAGTTATAATATCTCCTCTCATTTATAATTTTGAGTCCTCTCAGTCTAGGTAAAGGTTTGTTAATATTGTTTCTTTTTTAAAAGCCAGCTCTTGGACCTTGTTGGTGGCACAGGGGTTAAAGTCTCAGCGCTATCAAGCTTTCACCAGCCACTGTGGCATGAGATTGATCCCCGCCAGGGAGCTAACACACATGGCGCAGAGGATCGCCCCTGTCCCACTCACTACTCCCCTCAACAGTGAATTTCAGTAGATCTGCCTGTTCTGCTTCACACTGTGTCTGGTGAATCCTCTCACCCCTGCACCGCTGGCCTATACACCAGTTCTTGCATACATACATAAATAAATAAAAATAAATCTTAAAAAATAATTTAAAAAAAAGATGTATTTATTCATACAGAGCTGGGGTACAGGCCAGAAGTGCAGGGGCAGTGAAGGATTCACCAGAGACAGAGTGGGGAGCAGAAAAGGCAGATTGACAAAGGGGGAGCAACAGGCGAGATAGAAGCGGTCTGCTGTGCCACGTGGGTCACCTCCCTGGCTGGGGATTGAACTCATGCTGAAGCAGCTGCTAGCTTTGTAGTACTGCACTTCAACCTGTACCATCAGGGAGGACCCTAAAAAGAAAATTTTTAAAAATCTAACTCTTTGATTTTTGGTATTGTTTTTATTGTCGGTATTTCACTTATTAATGCCTATGTACTTCCTTCCTGCTAACTTCAAATTTAGTCTTCTTTTTCCAATTCCTTGAGATATAAAGATACGTTGTTTCTGTGAACTCTTCTTTTTTCTTAATGTGATCATTTATCATTCTACATTTCCCTCTTCAAAGTGTTTTTGCTATACCCCATAAGTTTTGGTATATTTTGTTTTACTTTCATTTTTTTTCAAGATACTCAGTTTCTTCTTTGTAGTATTTGGTTGTTTAGCAGTGTCCTAAGACTCCTCATGGTCATTTTTAAACTTATATTAGAGAAATTTAGCTACAGTGATGTTTTATTTTAACCATATTTGTAAGATGATTTAGAGGGAGGGGCTGTACCAGGTATTTTTGAACCTACCTCTGTGTGGTATTTGCATAAGTCAGCCATGAAAAAAGGAAATTCCTTTTGATTGAGCATTTCTTACTGGACACTGTTCTGGGCCCTAGGTGGTTTACTTAATCTCACTGTTCTAGATGTTTTACATACAAAGATAGTTATGAGTTGTAGGTATTTTCCTTAATTTATAGATTAGTGTTTCGCATTCCATATTAATGATGTTATTAGACTTTAATACATATTTTATATGATTTCCAACAGCATGAAATTGGCATTCTTAAAATGTACTGGTATAGATTTCAACTGGTAGTTGTTGCTAATGACACCTTTTAGATGTCTTTATTTTATTCTTTGCAGGTAAAATCAATTTTAGAGATGAATTGTTATTTATTGATTCAGCAAATAACTCTCGAATACCTACTATTTTCCAGGCATAGAGTTGGAGATGAATTTATTTCTCTTTTTCTGAATTTCTAAAGTTAACTATAATGTGTTCTGGAAATTCCCATTTTAACCAGAAAGAACAGTAGAGTCTGTCTAGCTGTCAGAAGCTCATGTTTATGGTATATTCGAAGTCCTATAAATTTCAGTTCTTTTGGTCACTTCTCTCACATCATTTGGCTAGGAAAGACATAATTTTCTTATGAAATCTCAAATTATGACTTTAGTTTTTGATGTTACTTCTTGGAATGTTATCCTTGTACCTTGCGGTAGAGGAAAATTGTCTGTGTAGAAACACCTGAGAAATACTGTATATTATATCTCAGAGAAAGATTCTTTATGCCTTTTGGAGGCTTTGTATAGTTCACTTTAGAACTTGGCCATTGTGTTGTTTTACCATAAAATGCTCCACACTTATTATTTGTCCTTTGGAAAGAAATGCTGTAAACCTTTGCTTTCTTCATCTTCTCATTTCCAAAGTTTTACATCTCTGTTAACCCTTAAGTTTTGTCTTGTTTTGGGATTTTTTCTCTAGGTTGGACAGTTTAACTAGATATTGGGCAGGCAGTTTTAGAAATACATATTGTATGAAAACAGAATATATACTGTGCCCTGCCTGGTGGCGAAACAGGTTAAATAAAGCACAGCACTATGAAGCTGTCCACAGCCACTGCAGCACGAGTTTGTTCCCCAACCAGGGAACTGACACATGGCACAACAGACCTCTCCTTTCCTGTCTGCTGTTGCCCTCAGCAATGTATTTCAGTAGACCTCCCTTTTCTGTTCCACACTCTGTCTGGTGAATCCTCTCACCTCCTGTACCTATGGCCTGTGCCCCAGTTCTTATATACATAAATAAATCTTAAAAAAACAAACAAACAGTATATCTACTAATTAGATATTTAAATATGGAATGAGAAAGATGGTGGCTCATAGTGTGGAAAAAAGATTTCTTTGTGGATATCTTTCCTTCACTCAAGTCTGCCTTAGGTGATGCTGACATTCCAGCCTCATACCTCCTGGGTCCTTCTTTTCCTTTTGACACTATCACATATCACCTTTGGCCCTAAAATGATGGGAAGACTTTCAGGAAGGTCTGGGAAATAGAACCAGATTTAATCACTTGAACTTTGACTTTTGCCCATTTGTGCTAGCCTCCAAGGGAGCCTTCATGAGATAAGGTCATGGAATTCCTTTGTGGGATTTTATGTCCTGAGAAAAGTCTAGTCATTCTTCTCATTCTCATTCTTCCCAACTTAGTTTACCTTTTCTCAAAGAAATGTTTCTTAACATTAAGCAAACAAGATATTTTTGGACATGTATACAAGCTTTCATGTGATTTATGCACTATGTATATGGGAGCTAAAGAATTCAGAGCAGCATAGACCTCAAAAAAGTGACATTTCTTAAATTTAAACTCAAAATGGTGTTCACCAGTGATCATTATTTTAGGAGAATGAGATCCTGACTGAACAAGAGGAACTTTTAGCCATGGAACAGTTTCTGCGCCGACAGATTGCCTCCGAAAAAGAAGAGATTGAACGTCTCAGAGCTGAGATTGCTGAAATTCAGAGGTAAAAGAAAACAAAGGGTTTTGAAGTTTCCAAGAATATTTACTTTAATATAAATGTTTTAGTTCTCACTTTTATATTAAAGAAAATAGGCATCTAAAGTGAATTAACTTTTAAGTTTCTTATTGATCATTGCTTAAGAATGGTGTTGTAGATAAGAAACTCATGAAAATTATATAAAGTAAAGGAAAAGCGATGAGAGCAGATACGCATTCTCTCCTTGCTTCTAAAGTATCTGTTATCTCTCACCCTTGTAGTCGTCAGCAGCATGGCCGCAGTGAGACTGAGGAATACTCCTCTGAGAGTGAGAGTGAGAGCGAAGATGAAGAGGAGCTTCAAATCATCTTGGAAGATCTACAGAGACAGAATGAAGAGCTGGAAGTAAGTCGGGGAGGGGTAACAGAAAATCACACTGTGTTCTGGAAAATTATGGAGTTCATACATTTCCCTTAGAGTTCTCTTATCCTGTGGTAACCAACTGGACAATGCTAAGTAGAGTGGAATTTAGAGCAAGTCTCACCAGAGTTCGTATGGAGTGCAAACTGAGTGCACTCCAACAGACAACACTGCTGTCCCTGCAGTGTGACTTTGTGAGTTTAGTGTCACAAAGGTGAGCTACACCTGACTACGGCAGTTTGAGCAGCTTTGAATGATTTGATATGTTACCAGAGAATATAGACAAAGAAGGAGTAGTAGAGGACAAAGGAAAAGTCTTCTGAATCTAACCGTGGGCAAAACAAGGAAGAGTTGACCCTTAACCCATAAAGCAACAAGGGAGAGTAAATTCAGCAGTAGGGAGCTGGGAGGCAACTACACAGTGAAAGGACTTAAATAATTTTGATTTGAATTTTCCTTTTTACTCCAAATAAAACATTGTCTCCAAATGTTTTTGCGCAGGGTTGAGAGAGCAACCATTCTCTTTTCAGAAAGACATCTAAGAACAACAATTTTGTTCCTTCATTTAGGTGCATTCAGCTGTTAGAGAAAACCATGGATACATAGCACATAGAAAACTAAAGGATTCCACTCAGAAACACCACCCACAAAAGTTTTCTTCATTGAACCTGGGGACAGTTCAGAGAGGTTGCCCACTGAGGCTCAAGGACACACTTGTCAGAACCAGAGATGTGGGAGCGGGGTAGTGGACAGGACCTGGTCACATGAGCACCTTGTTTTGTTTTAGCATTTTAGAGATGCAAATCCTAAGTAACAAAATATACTCCAGGCTTACAGTTCTTGGCACTGGGTTGAGCTTCTGTGACAGTTTGAGCCAGACAGTGAAATGTCTTATCTGGCAGACATCCAGGTCTGCCGTCCTTGACATAAGTTTTTTCTACTTAGGGTTCAGACCCCTGCCCATCTTTTCAGCAAGAGGACAAAAAGGAAACAAGGAGAGCTCGGTTGCCAAGGGCAGGGTGCACGATTGGAACCCAGCGCTGCTGCTCACACCCTAGTAGCGAAGGCTCAGTTCCATGGCTGGAGCTAGTTGCCAGGGAGACTGGGAATTACAAACTGGATGCTGCACCGTGCAGTCCCTGCCTCCGTGAGGGTGTGGTCGGCAGCGTTTGGGATCAGTTGCTGGTTTTTACATTAATGTCCCAGAATGAATGCAGATAATTTAGAACTGATAGTAGTTTTCTGTGGTTTAATTGCATAGCACGGTTGAGATAGAAAGGATGCCATGAACAAAAGACAAAGCGCATCACTTCTGAGATAATTCTAGGATTTGTCCTGTTTCTAATGTGTCACCTTGCCCTTCCCAGTTGCACTGAAACACGTGTATCATCCTCCAAGGCTCGTCAGGAGCCAGCTCAAAAACATAAATCTAGTGGAGACACTAGCCCTCTTAAGATTATTAAAATAATTGTTTCCTATCTGTACATTTGTTTTCCAGATTTATTCACTCTTCTCTAATTAGGAACAGAGTTTATATTCCTGAATTTTACCCCTCTGGGTTAAGCTGCTTGCACATTCATGTTGATGTGCATGTCTTCTGTAACAACTAGATTGAAACAAAAACAGATTCTTGGTAGGATACCTTTGTTACATGTCTTCTCCTGAATCTTTATCCTCTTGACCTTTCTGAGTCACAGTTTTCTTTCATTCTCAAGATAAAGAACAATCATTTGAACCAAGCGATTCATGAAGAGCGAGAGGCCATCATTGAACTGCGCGTGCAACTCCGCCTGCTCCAGCTGCAGCGAGCCAAGCCCGAGCCACAGACTCAGGATGATGAAGAGCCCGAGAGGCGTGGGGGCGCTGTCCAGGTGCCCAGAGACACCGCCCCAGAGACAAAAGCAGCTAAAGAGCAGCCAAAGTCAGGCAAGGAGCAGGCCAAGCCATCCCCGAGCAGAGACAGGAAGGAGACACCCATCTGAGCAGCTGCGTCATGGAATCGTCCACACCTAACAAGACCTGTGCATCTTACTGTAATACCGAGAGTCAGAGTGCACAACTCTCTGCTGTACATTCTGTAAAGATGTCTTTTCTTCTCAGAGACCCTTCCTTCTTTCACACGTATGACTTCTCCGCGTCAGGCTCAGGTTATACACAGGAGGAGAAAGCAATGGACGCATTGTAGGCTTGTAGGGGACAGATGAATTTTCCAGGTAGGATCAGCTTATTTGAAGATTAATTTTCTTTGTTAACTTAAAATAACTATTTTAACCCTTGAGTGGCTTCTTTTTAAACCAAAAATCGTCTTTCTTTGCTTTTTTTTATTATGGCAGAATCAGGATCTCTTTCTCTGGTTCAGGAGGGGGGAGGGGGGGGGGAGGGGGGTGGAGATCCAAACAAGGTAAATACTGTCCTTGCCTTGTGGATTACCCCATAGTCTCACCCTCTGGGATCTCTGCTTACCTAGTCACTCTTGCTTGTGCCTTTTACACCTTTTCGGTGCAGATTATATAATGGGGAGCTGCCTCATATTTCCCGACTGGCCAGAAAGGCTCTTACTGGGGTTACCTTTACCTGCCCTGTCACTCTCCTTTAACTGTCCCAACCGCAGTCCATGAGCCTGAGTCACCAGACGGCCCAGCTGGCCACAGAGCTGTCCGGGGAGTGCGCCCACCAGCGCCGGGGCAGCACCACCTTGCTGCTCCTGCTCCGCACTGCTTGTGGGCTGCAGGCGCTTTCACTGGGCTGCTTGCACGGGCCGCTGGACCCAGTGCAGCCGCACAAAGGATGTGTCTCAGACCAGAAGTCTGTGTGACTGACCTTCCATTAAAGACAGAATGACTTAGGTTGCTTGCTTGGGCTAGAATGTGAACTTCTCTTTGCCTGAATAAGCCATATATATGCTCTTACACAAAAGTTTTAAATTACCCACATCGCCTCAGTGAACCTGCTGATGGAGTCCCAATTGATGTGATTGAGCAATAGAAAAAACTCTTCTAGTGATAGCTGTGACTCCCAGCCCTGTTTCCTTGTGTCTGCTACGTCTGTGGTGACCTCAGGCGCCTTTGTGCTCTGTTGAGTCAGTGGTACCCACGAGGTAGGTCAGCTCTCATGGCTGTGAAGACAAAGACAAACCCCACATGCTCAAGGTGATGGCAACACCCCCATGGGGACTCTGTCCTCTCCTCCTCCTAGTTAGTATTTATTTTCAGCACCTGTTTGATGCGGTTTTTTATCCTCTACCTATTGCACTGTTGTGACTTGTTGGCCATTATTTGATTTTTGTACGAAAAAAAAGCTTTGTTATAGAAATCAGCATACTATTTTTTTAAATCTGGAGAGAAGATATTATGGTGACTGAAAATATGGTCAGGTGTCAAATATAAATGTATAAAAATCTTTTTGCTGTCCTGTCGGTCATAATAGATTCATTTTATATTTGCTGGCAATGTTGAAGTTTCTTTTCATTTGTGTAAACTCTAATTTCTATCAAGGTGTCATGGATTTTTAAAATTAGTATTTCATTACAATTGTCTCAGCGTTGGTTAACTAATTTTTGCCAGGACTATTATTGATGAAGCAAATAAATTCAACAGCCATTTGAGGAAAAAAAACAACTCGTTTTTTTTTGTACACATTCAAATAACAAAGCGCCTTGTGGCTCAAGGGATTGTTTTGATTCTTCATGGTCCCAGAGTAAACAATACGTTTTAACCCACTTTGTATTCCCCACCTAAACAGAGGTGCTGACCATCCACTTGCCCCTTCAGTGGTCAGCAGCCGTCCACCACCTTCCCCAGCCCAGTTCTCTCCCCGAGTGCGCACCTGTGTGCGCAGGCCAGCTGGCTGTGGGAGGGTGTGCAATGACTGTGAGCTGCATCCCTTGTCCCATAGCAAGTAAGCTTTAACCTTCTAGCTCAACACACAGGTCATCTGGCCCAAGTTGGCCAAAAAAAAGTGAATTATTGCAATGTCTGCTTCCTGTAGGGTGTTAGGGGCCCCTGACTGACTGAATTAAAATACTGTTTCTGGAAGAGCCAAAGCTGTCGTTCCTGGCCTGGTACTGTGGGACTTAGCATATTTATTCCACATAGTAGCTCTGCCTCTGTTGTCAATACCCTTCTTTCCATTAGTTTCTCGAGCCTGAGTTGTGATAAAAACAGCAACATAAAATGGCTGCATAACTTGCTACCTTTGTCCTCCTCAGTTTACAGCTAGTAAGACATCTGTAACTCTACAAAGATTCCTCTGCTCATTACACCAAGAAGCTAGCGATGTTCACACATGCGGGTAACTAAAGATGAGTGGACGGAGGCTTATGGGGTTGGGGTGGGCCGAGAGTTACAGTGGACCTGTGAGCCTGAGCAAAAGGAAGGTGACGGCACAGGACCTGCAGCCCCGGCCCCCAGTGTACTGAAGCTAACGGCAGTGGTGGCCGAGTTCTCAACACTGGCCCTGGTCTCTGGAGAGAAGGCAGCAGCAGGCACCTGATTCCAACCCTCGTTTTCCCTCTGCACTGCCTCGTGCCAGATGAAACTTGAAGGCACTGTGGGCCCATGGCCCCAAAGGAGAAAGCAGTGCCAGAGCATCAAATCAATGGCAGCTACCAAGACACTGGTCCTTTTCCACCCTCCCCCCTTCCCTACAGCCAACAATCTGCAACCCAGGTGACCCCAAAACACCCATCATCCCAGGAACCTGGTAGTGATCCCCAAAACTGTATGACATAAGTTACCACAGAGGTACAACCAAAAACAAAAGGACACCGATGACTCCTGGAAGAGGTAGTGGTGGGTGGAAACTGGACCCGCTAGGGAAGCCAACAGATATACGATAGCACCACCTACTGGAGAGCAAAAGATTTCTACTACTTAACTGTTGGATTAAACTCTAAAATAAATAAAATTTTAACTAAATAAGGTGTGAGCTACTTCAAATGTACCAATAGAGGAGCATTTCATCGAGCACATTAAAAATCAGTAATGGGGCCCTCCCTGGTGGCGCAGCGGGTTAAAGCCCAGCACTGAGAATCTAAAGCCGCTTCCGCATGAGTTCGATTCCCGCCTGCCCCGGAGGAGACCACATGGCGTGGCAGACCTCTCCTGACCCGCCTGCTGCTCCCCTCAGCAGTGTACTTCGTCGATCTGCCTGTTCTGCTCCCCACTCTGTCTCTGGTGAAGCCTGTCGCCGCCCCTGAGCCTCTGGCCTGTACCCCAGTTCTGTATGCACAAATAAATAAATCTTTTAAAAAAAAAAAATCAGTAATGGGCCTCCCTGGTGACACAGGGGTTAAGTCAGCATTATCACCACTTTGGTCTGAGTTCAATTCCCCTGGCCAAGGAGCTGACCTACATGGCCTAGCAGACCTTTCCTGTCTCACCTGCTGCTCCCCTAAGCAGTGAGATTCAGTAGATCTGCCTGTTCTGCTTCCCACACTGTTTATGATGAATCCCCCACCATCCCCCCGCACCTCAGTCTTCTCTGAATGCATAAATAATATGAATAAATCTTTAATGAGTAAAAATCACAGTAATAAAAAAAACATGCTAATTCTCCAGAAACCAAACTGAAAGTCATGATAGAGAATTCTGTAAGAAAACTTAGAAATGCAGTTCAGTGGGTTCAAGAATGTAATCAATGAATAGAAAGAGTATTTTACCAAAGCTATTGAAACTAATGAAATAAGTCCTGGGCCCTCCCTGGTAGCAAAAGAGGTTGAAGCACAGCACTATGAAGCTAGTCACAGCCACTGCAGCAGAGTTCGATCCCTGGCCAGGTAGCTGACCCACATGGCATGGCAAACTTCTCCTGACTTGCCCGCTGCTCTGCTCAGCAGTGTATTTCAGTCAATCTACCTATTCTGCTCCCCACTCTGTCTCTGATGAATCCTCTTACCACCATACCTCTAGCCTAGCCATACCCCAGTTCTTGTATGCATAAATAAATAAATCTTTAAAAATAAATGGATCCTGGAGCTGAAGAACCCAATACATGAGATGAAGAAATAAATAGAAAGCATTGACAATATGGCAGATAATGTGAAAGAGAGAGTTAGTGAGACAGTATAGAAATCTAGAAATACTTCATGTGAAAGGAGACAGAAAGCAAAATGTGTGTGTGTGTGTGTGTGTGTGTGTGTTTTTAAATAAGAAAATCTACAGAAACTATACAATTCCATTGAGGAACGTATGCAAGGGCATTTGGTAACCCAGAAAGCATCTGATTATTTCATTGCAAAAAAACTCACCAAGAAAAAAATTGTCTAAAGTCAAAGAAAAAGAATTTTAAAGACAACATGGGATGAAGGGCGGGGGAGAGAGTAACTCACCATTCGGCTCTCAAGCTTCTCAGCAGAATCTCACTAGGCCAGGAAAGTGGAATGACATTTAAAATTTTGAAAGATAAAAACTGCAAAGGGAATCTGGCAAGATGGCAAAAGAGTGAAAATGCCAGCATAGCTTCTTGTACATATTTACAACCAAATTATACGGATATAAAGATGGTGGGCCCCAAAGGACAACTGGGTGACCATTATACGCTTAAAGCTGCACTACACGGGAGAGGGTAGGAAACACGGAAATTTAGTTGTGTTTGGAGCATCACCAAGGCAGAGGAATCTACGGGAGGGAGGGGCAAAGTGCAAAGTGGAGCCTCTGTTTTCCGAAGGACTCAAGCTACACTGAGGGCTTTGGACCCTAAAGGGGAGCTTGAAGACAATGGACAGTTCTGGCAACTACCAGCATGAGGTTGTTGACTTTGGGTCTGAGCTTGGACTACTGGATGTGAGTAGCTGGAGTTCGAACTAGTGAGGAAGAATCCATCAACTCAAAAGAAGCTCTGTTCTGCGGAGGGAGGGGAGCTATAATACTCAAAACACATGTTTCGGGCCAAAACCAAGATGACTATGTAACTACACACAGTGAATAGTACCATTAACCAAATTCAAAGGGGCCTAGGAAGAAAAATCAAATGCCCTAGGGCAATGCTGTTTACTTAAAGGAAAAAGGAACAAGCTTGAGCTGTTCATCCTGACTATAGCTCTCAGTCAGTACTACAGTGACTGAGAGGACGGAGTGACATTTGCAGGGGAGAAGTCTGTGGATGGCACATGAGAATCCGTCCCCCACCCCCAATCACCTGTAATCAGAACTGGGACAGTCGCCTGTCTGCAGTGCAAATTAGCAACTCTCAGTTTATTCTACCTACAGCCTAGGAGAAGAAACAATATAAACACACACACACACACACACACACACATACACATGCATATATAGCAGGACCTACATACTAGAGCAAAACTATAGGTAGAAGTAGATGTTAACCAGAGAGTATTAGAGACACTTTGAGAAATTAGCCTTGGGGAGAGAGGGTCATTACAGATAGCTCCAACCTGACCTGGGCATCTAAGCACCTTAGAAGGCTTGAACCCAAGCCACTCACTGGCAGCAGCCTCTGGCTGCCACGGCTTCTCCTAACCACCCCCCACCCCAACCCCGCGCCCCACCCACAGCAAGCACTGGAGCTCCAGAGAGCTAAACAGCCGTCAGGCTGGGCAGAATGGAGGGATGCTGGGAAAAGCCCAGCAAGCTCCTGTCAGGAATGGCCAGTGATGAGATGCAGGTGTACTGGGGATGGCTTACCCCTGAGACAGACCCTCCCCCCACCCCCACAGCAGCACATGCCAGAGGTAGTGTCCAGATCATGTAGCAGCCTCCCCACCACCCAGTGCGTCAGCTGGCCCAAGACTACCTCAGTAACGGCAGGTATCGGTGGTGGATTTCTAGGTGTTACTGAGGCAGGATTAGCTGAAACACCAGGAGTGGTTAAAGCAGCATTGGAACAGCAAGGTGGCTGGTTCCAAGAGAATCACCAGGTGCCATTTACTGTTGGAAGCTTCTGCTCCAGCTTGTGCTGTTTGTAGGGGAAACCTTGACATAACTTTGCAGCTTTCCTGTAGATTTTGAAATTCTGAAATTTTACTGCAGGCTTTTTACAATATATACAAGTCTTTTGTGATGAACAGGGACGTTTTACAATTGTAAAAAAATCAGGTGAATTGTGAGTTGTTTCCAGAACTGCATTTGTTTTGTGATGACTCAAATTTTTAATTAAAATTTGTTTTTATCCTCCTGGGTTTCGCCCCTGGCGGCCGCGCTGCAGGGAGGCAGAGATGGCAGATGAGATCGCCAAGGCGCAGACCGCGCGGCCTGGTGGCGACACGATCTTTGGAAAGATCATCCGCAAGGAAATCCCAGCCAAAATCATTTATGAGGATTACCAGTGTCTTGCTTTCCACGATATTTCCCCTCAAGCACCAACACATTTTCTGGTGATACCCAAGAAACCTATATCTCAGATTTCTGTAGCAGAAGATACTGATGAAAGTCTTCTTGGACATTTAATGATTGTTGGCAAGAAATGTGCTGCAGATCTGGGCCCGAAGAAGGGTTATAGTATGATGGTGAATGAAGGTTCAGATGGGGGGCAGACTGTCTATCATATTCATCTCCATGTTCTTGGAGGTCGGCAGATGAATTGGCCTCCTGGCTAACATGTTTTAGGGATGGTTTTCTCTTCTATAGGCATTATTAAGGTTGAAAGTTCTACATGTATTGCTGAACAATACACTTAACTTTTGCCTATATATAGATGGAGGAAATACCCATCCATAATAAAAGACACCATTGAATGATTAAAAAATTTTTGTTTTTATATATTTATATGTGCGAGAACTGGGGTATAGTCAGAGGTGTCAAGGGAGAGGAATCACCAAAGACAGAATGGGGACAGGACAGGCTGATTGACATGCTGAGGGGAGCAGTGGGCAGGTCAGGAGAGGTCTGCCATGCCAGGTGGGTCAGCTCCCTGGCTGGGGATTGAACTCAGGGTGGAGGTGATAGAATGATAGTTAAGTCTCTACTTAACCTCTACACCACCGGGGAGGCCCTGTATTCAATTTGTAAGACAGAACTGTTTCTCAAAGTTCCTCAAGATATTAAGTCACAACCTGGATGCCATCAGGCGGACCACTCAGCCAATTACAGTATCTTCAGTTTTTCCATTAGATCAGGAAGAAAATCTCTAAGGCGGAGTCTAAAGAATCCTACTTTCTAGATTTGGAGTTGGATATCTTCAGAAAATTTTAAGAAATTCACAAACGCTTCAGGATGACTTTCTTTCCTTTGGGCACATTGTTTCATTTTAGCTTAGGAGAGAAATCCTAAAGACAGGTAGACCCTGGTAAGACTGGTAAGCCCCTGCTTACCAGTTTCTGAGTTGACCAGTTTCTGATCATGCAGTTGGTAGGTCCCTAGTCACAAATGGAGGTAGCCCAGGTTTCTGTTGGCTAAAACTTTGGGGACACTACATTGAGAGTTGCCAAAACAAGTTCTCAGGCCGCAAATAAAAAGGTAACACTGTCCCTATGGGAGAAAGTGTCAACAACAAATGGGCCCTTGACAGCAAATTCATAAGTTATAAGACAAAGATCCAATTCATACATTGTTCCTAAATGACAATCTGCATTTAGAAAGAAAGGGACACCATGACGTTTTACTTCCCTCTCAACCAAGCATCACAGGTACAGCCCTGGGAGAGCTGACATTGTTAACTGTTAACAGTGTGAACTGGGATGCCTGTCTCTGGGTCCTCACCTGTGGGCTTAAGATTCAGTTGTACTGAAGACATGCACAAAAAGGGTCAATAATGGGTTTATTTACAAAGGGAATGGAAAGGAACAACCTAGGGAGAGAGAAAGAGAGAGAGAGATACAAGTTAACTAGAGAATCCTACCAGTTCTGCTGACCTGGAACCCCAACAGCACACTGAAAGCTCATCAAGGGTCAAGCAACCAGCCTCCAGCCACAAGACCAAGGGAGAAAGAGAGCCTTGGCTCAACATGGCTCCTCTATATGTGTATCCCCAAAAGTCTCAAAATTGTTGCTTAGCTCCACCCTTGGGTCCACACAGTCCTCCCTTTGGTATTGCTGAGAGTTGTAGTTTCAGTGGCTGGAGTAGAGGATGAAGCTGTAGTTTCAATAAGTGGAGTAGGGGGTGGAGTCCATAGAACCTGTATTTGCAGAGCTCGTTCAGGACATCCTTTCCACCTAGTAATGTTGGTAAGAACATTCTCACCCCTTACCATTTCCCACCAGCTTTCCCAGTGTCCTGTGTGTGGGTGCTGAAAAGAACGGGGTTTCCCAGCAGATCTCATCCTGGTACCAGTAACTAGAGGAGAAAGACAACTTTCCTCTATCCTTTGGGGTGAATACTTGACTGAGATCCCTTCTCTCCAAGGCAGTTTATAAATAGATGAACTTATATAGGTACAATTTTCTCCATGTGGTCACTGTGGTCCATGATAACCTTTGGTAGGTTAATCTGCTTGTTCAGCCTTAAAACAACAATGTACGTGCGGCCAGGGGCCTCACATAGCTCCCAGACCTGCTCATGTCAGATGCAGCTCAACCTGGACACTGTCCAATTTTTATGTTGGACTCGGTTCAATTCCAGCTGGTTCCTGGACCCAGTCCAGAAAAAAGAAATACTCAAAATCTGAAAGCTTGTAACACAAAAGCTGTGGAGTTAGGGTCTGAGAGAGACTTACCCACATCCTCCCGAGGCAGCAAGCAGAGGCAGCAGGATCAGGGGCTTAGCAGGTACTTAATTGCTCCTGGTTTGCACCTCCGCCTGGTGGCTCCTGGCTGCTAGATCCTTCAAATGAAACTAGAACTATGGAAAGGTTAACTGAGGCACATGCAAAATTGAAATTTTATTTAATCAAAATCCCATTTGAATCAGGCAGCATTTGCTGTAAGAGATGGAAGGAAGCCCCAAGACACTGTATAAAATTTCATAAGCAGAAGGCAGAGTAACAGGGGCCTCCCTGGTGGTGCAGCAGGTTAAAGCACAACACTATGAAACTGTCCACAGCCACTGCAACACAAGTTCAATTCCCAGCCAGAGAGGTGACCCACATGGCGCGGCAGACCTCTCCTGACCCGCCTGCTGCTCCCCTCAGCAGTGTACTTCATTGATTTGCCTGTTCTGGTCTCCACTCCATCTCTGGTGAATTCTCTAACCCCATCCCCAAACCTCTGGACTATACCCCAGTTCTTGTATGCATAAATAAATAAGTCTTAAAAAAAAAAAAAAAGGGCAGAGGAACAGGGAAGGGAAGTGGTTGGTTATTGTAGTTACTGTCCTTTAAGGGATGGAAGGGGATTATCGGATAGGATACTGCAGATCAGTTCTTAATTGACTTAAAATTCCATTAATGAAAGAACCAAAGGTTGTAAGAATTTCAGTTCGGTCAACTTAGCATAAGATTTATTTATTAATGCATACAGAAGTGGGGTACAGGCCAGAGATGCAGGGGTGGTGAGAGACTTTGCCAGAGACAGAGTGGGGAGCAGAACAGGCAGATCGATAAAGTACACTGCTGAGGGGAGCAGCGGGCGGGTCAGGAGAGGTCTGCCGCGCCATGTGGGTCACCACTGGGCAAGGGATCGACACTCACTTAAGCATCTGCGGCTGGCTTGCAGGGCTGCGTCCTAACCCACTGAGCCACCAGGGCGGGCCAGGGGCTCGTCTGGTTCTGATAGACTGAGGTGAGAGGTGTGGTGTGTCCCAGGTTGTTTGGTGCCTGCATGGTCAACCACATATCCCTCCGGTGATGAGGCAGCTGTGCCTATCAAGAATGATGGACATGCGGATGGTGGCTGGAGGGAGGGAGTAAGTAGGATTCTCAACTGAAGTGCCCCCAGCTTCAACAAAAGGCAAGAAATTGCTGAAAAACTCCAAAAGACACAAAAACACTGATTCAAAAAGACACCTGAACCCACATTTTTCTTGCTGCTTTATTCACAATTGGAAAGACACGGAAACAGGCCAAATACCCAAAAAATGGATGACTGGATTAAAAAGATGTGGTGCATATACACAATGGAATATTACTCAGCAATCAAAAAAGAGAAACACCTCTCTTTTGCAGCAACTTGGATGGAGCTGGAAAAGATCATGCTCAGTGAGATAAGCCAGAAAGAGAAAGAAAAATACCGGATGGTTTCGCTCATAGCAGGAGTATAATGGACCAGGCGAGAAAATAATAATAATAATGAACAACCATATACCAGAGACATTTTATGGGGTGGAGTGGGGAATGGGATCAAAAACAGTGGGGGAGGGAAGTGCCCTGGACATGGTGATGGCACATGGGTGACTTGGTGATGGGAAACCCACGGGGAGATGGAAAAAGGCACAAAATGATATAAAAATAAACTATTATATTATTTTTAAAAAATTGCTGAAAATCCCAGCTACAGAGAAAGCAAAGGATTGCATCAGGAGTCTCGCAGATTCTCACGGGGATAAAATTGGGCGCTGTCACTTCCGCTAAGACTGTGCTCTGCATCTGCTGTTGGCTCCATAAATAGGTGTAGGCGTATTGAGGTCCCAGGAGATGAGCCACTCACGCGCCCCCAGCAGGCCCAGACGCAGCAGTGCTACAGCGCTCTCGGGGCTGAAATCTGCTCACCGCTGACCTTACTACTCGTTGCCTCCTGAAACAGACACCTGCTTTATTAGTAGTAGTAGTAGGCCAGAGGTGTGTGTGTGAGGGGGAGAGGACTCACCAGAGACAGAGTGGGGAGCAGAACAGGCAGATCCACTAAAATACACTGCTGAGGGGAGCAGCAAGTGAGACGGGAGAGGCCTGCTGCACCATGTGGTTAGTTCCCTGGTGGGGGACTGAACACAGGCCACAGCCATGATTGCACTGAGACTTAACCTTAGGCCACCAAGCAGGCCCCCGACGCCTGCTGTAACTGAATTTCAGGTTCACAGTGACTAACATTTGCAACGATGTCCCTCACAGGCCATATCTAATTTGGTCTTCATTTTGTGTTTCTGTGGGACCCTTTTGCTTAAAGCAGGGTCTTTCCAGACCTTTGGTGCACCTACCCTCCCTTAGTGTCTCAACCAGCACCTGCTTACGCTACAAAGGCTTCCGCGTCGCGAAGTGCTGTACAGTCTGATCTGCTGGGCGACAGAAGAGTCCCGATGCAACTTTGTGCAGACAAAGTGAACAAGATGAAGATGACATCCAGTAGGTGGAAGACAGAGGGGAAGTTAAAGTGACCGGTTTGACTCTGCCTTGAAAGTAAAATCGTGGGGACACTCACTGCTCAAATGCACGTTGTCTGATGCCCGTAGTGTGGGGCGGGTGCTTGGGCACAGAGGGAAGCCTGTGCTTCCCTCTCTACCAGGAGACCAGGAGACGGAGCCAGAGAACAGTCCCTGGGGAAGGCAGCCTCGCTGACGCCCAGCCCTGTGCTTGGCTCTAAGCTTCAGGGTCCCGCAAGAGAGCTGCCCTGGACGCAGGAGAGCTGCCCTTGACACGCCGAGGCACGGGGCTCGTGCCTGCTGGGGTCTCTGTGGTTGCGCCCACTGCTGTTGGCTGGGCGCTGGGGTCTACACAGCTCATACCTCAGAGCACTGGCTTGCGAGTGAGGGATAAGACAAGTAGACCATTGACACAATCTGATGATTGTGTTGAAATGATGGAAAGTATTAAACTGG